CGTGGTCGGCTGGCTGGCCGGCCTGGCAGGGTTATAGGGACCTTTCCTATGGAAGTGGGGGGGGGTCCCTGGCAGGAAGCAACTGAGGGGGATGTGGCTAACCAGAGGGCTGACCAAAGTGTCATAGGGAGCGTGTCCATGGAAAGTTGCCGCCATCGGCTTTGACGAGCAATCATTTGAGGACAAGGAGGCCAACAGAGCTGCAAGACTTTGGGGAGACGAGGCGGAGACGTTGTGGGGCTGGCAGGAGGAGGGCTGCTCGTTCTGAGGTCAACAAAGGCAATTCTGGGGAAGAGGAGGAGGACGGGCTCCGGGTCCTTGGCGGTGATGGCTGGTGGCACTTTTTGTGGCAAAGTCTTACAGGGAAAGCTTCCGTGTTTGGTGACATCCTCTGTTGCTGGACAACAGTTTCTGAGGAGGAGGAGGAGGAGCCGTTTTCCTCCTCATCCATCGTGTGCCCAGCTGGCTTAGAACAGGGTGATGGATCAGGTAGCTTTGGCCCGATCCAGTAAGGATCTTCCTGCATGCTTCTAAATCCAAGAGGTTGAAGGGCTCTAAAGAGCCTTTCTGGGGCTCGTCCAACTTGTGAACAAAAAGGGGGGAATCGTTTCCCTCATGAGTTATGGAGGACACATCGGGCAGGCCTGTCTGGCAATTCTCAAAATGAGAAAGTGCTTCATCTGGAAACGGGCTGTTTAGTTTCCTCTGTTCTTTGACAAAATAAATGTTGGTGTTAACAAAACAGGCCTTATTGTTTCTAGGCCCTTTGCCAATGCTGCTGCCTTTGGAACTCCCTGCCACTCCTGAACAGACCGAGGCCCTGGTCTCCTTCAGAAGTGCTCCTGGTTGGAGCCCGCTGTGGGGTGGCCCCAGATGCTCCTTTCCAGACCAGGCAATGGGACGGGCTCTCCGGTTGTTGGCCTGGGCCGTTCTGAGGAGGGGGCGGCTGAGGAGCCCGGCTGACCTCTGGGGAGAGATGGCCATAATTCAGCTGTCAGATTCTTCAGGAAAGCCGGGTGGGTGGACAGCAGGAGGAGGAGGAGGAGGAGACGGGACAGGCGGGTGAGGAAAGCAGCTTCACTGAGGATTCGCACGGCCTGGAAGCACGCGGGGAGGAGGGTCTTCACAACCCCCCTTTGTCTGCTGCAGAATCAGGACTGTGCTTCTGGCTTTGAGGGGCGGCAGCTAAAGCCAAGCGAGTCCAGCTGCAGGCAGCAGCAGTTGGAGGAGATGAAGCCCCGCTGGAGCAGCCGAAGGGAAGGAAGAAAACAACTCCAGCTCTTGAGTCATCATCGCAACTTGTGGAGCGCTGATTCATGCCACAACTGGGAGCACCATGTTCCACGTTTGGCTCTGCCGTCTTCGCTGTCGTCAGAGGCAGCCAACAATAGCTCAGGCGGGGGGGGGAGGGAGGGAGGGGACCTGCAGCCACCAGAAAACGAGGGAGTTGAGCTCTCTCGGGCGGGAGGTGGGGACAGTCAGGGAGGAGTGGACCCCTCCTGGGGGGCTGAGAATGGCCGAGTGGGGCAGATCTGGGCTAGGGCAGCCGAAGGGGGCTCTGGCTGCAATCCTGCCTGTCTGAAGCTGGCATTGGGGGGGGGGGCTCAGGGATGGGGGCTGCAGCTGAGCACCATGGGCGTGTGAAGTGCCTGCCTTCTCTATGGCCTGATTCTTATTCTTGATCTGTTTTGGAGACCAAGCCAAAAGTAGCTCAATCAATCAGAATAGAGTTGGAAGGGACCTTGGAGGTCTTCTAGTCCAACCCCCTGCTCAAGTAGGGGACCCTATGCCATTCTGGACAAATGTCTGTCCAATCTCTTTTCAACAGCCTCCAGGGATGGAGCACCCACAGCTTCTGGAGGCAAGGAGTTCCACTGGTGAATTGTTCTCACTGTCAGGAAGTTTCTCTTTAGTTCTAGGTTCACCAGAATGTTCTCTCAACTGTTCCTTCTGCAGGTCAAAGTTAATCATTTTTTTGACGACAGAGACATTCTCTGATAACCACAGTTCCTTGAGAGTCAGTTGTGAGAAACCCGTGGCCTTTGGGTCATTAGCTGACACCGACTGCAAGATCTCAAAATTTTCTGGAAGACTTTTTAGATAGGACTTGGGGGGATTGTGTGGAACAAAGTTTGATGCACTGGCCTTGTATCCCCCCCTTTAAAGATGCTCCTTCCCCCTAAAATCAACACCTATGTGCACTCCAGCACTGTCAGGAGAGATCCAGGCTGGGTCATCCTGACATAATATTAACTGGGGTTCTACCAATTACAAGCCAAAGTGAATGACAAGCCATTAAGCTGAAAATTAGCTAAGGAAAGGGAGATAAAGGTCGAAAGGGTGGAAGAGAGGTTGAAAACTTCACAACTAATGTTGGGAAGGTGTACATAATTCACGAGTTTATTGCAAGACTATTACATGCCTCTTTCCTTTAATGTAGGGATTTCAGCCCATTTTAATGAGCTAATAAGAGCAGAGCTTTGCCTTCGCAGAGGTGAAGATCAAGTGAGACGATGCTGTTGGGTTCAACCTGTTCCTGAACCAGATTGCAGAACAGGCTGGCTTGAAATGGGCGTACTCTAGGAGATTTGAATTTGCTTGCTCTTCGCTCCAGTGACCAAGGAGCCTTCGCCTCTTGAGATTACGGCTGAAAGCATTTGGGGCTGCAGGATCCCACCCAGGCAATTTTCAGATGGTTCTAAGCCTGGCTGGCCCAGCAACTGAAAACAAAAACTCAGTGCAAACCGTCAAGGGCAGAGCTAGAGAGAGAGAGAGTTGAGATAAAGAGCTTGGGAAGTCAAAAGTGGCCCCTGGGCTGTGACTTTCCTGGGTGCAGATGGGGCTCCTCCTCCCGAGCATTCCCACAGACGAGCCCTTTGGAGGAGGCCCTGGGCCCAGGCTCACTTCCAAAAGTCAGCTAACTTCATTAAGCCATTTTTAGAAGGCAGATCAAACAATCCAATTATAGGGAAAAGCATTCAGTTAGGAAACTAAAAATAGCAGCAGGAGAAAGTTTGAAAGCCAGCGAAGAGGCTGAATCGCTGAAAAAGCTTTTGAAAAGTCGGGCCATCTTCGTCCCTTGGAAGATCACTCCAAAGATGAGGGGTCACCACCAGAAAGGCTTCCAAGGAAGGTGGGAAAGTCAAAACATTACACTGAAAGTCCTCAATTTGTAACCCATCATTTAGTGATTTTTCAAAGTTACAACAATACTGGAAAAGGGGACTTCAGACCGGTCCTTGCACCCAGGCCGCTGCATCCCAATGGTCAGGTGGCACAAATTCGGACACTTGGCAGCCGGCATGTAGAACCTGCAGAGCCCTCCGAATCAAGCGGGTGTTTCTTGTGTGAGTGTGTGTGTGTGGGGGGGTCCCCATATAAAATGCTCCAGAAGCTCTTTGCCATGCTGTCTTAGGATGCTCAGAACCTCTCCTGTGGCCTCCCACACATCCTCCCCCAGCTTTAGTGGGGATCACGGTCGTTCTTGTGTTAGCTTTGAAAAAGACATTGCTCTGTACGAATGCCCCTTCTCTATCGGACTCTCTTGGAGTTGTAAGAATACCTCTGCTAGCTTTCACCAATGTTAGCCTCAGTAAATGGGTTTAACAGACCTTTACCAGCCTCTTTGGCTCCCTCGGGGTTGAATGCATCGGAGAGTCCCCTGGGTTTGGCTGGCCTGGCCTGCAAGTAAAAATGGATGTGAGCGAGTGGCAGTCACAGCGTCTCTAGGGATTGTCCCCCTCGGCTCCCTGGAGCCGGCAGCAGGTCTGGGCTAAAGGTTTCCTGCTCTCTTCCTGACATTGATTTAGCCTCTGGGCTTTGCTGCCAGGCCTGGCCTCCTGCTGCAATGAGGCCGGTGTTCCTCCATCATCAGGAGGCAGGGAGATAAGAAGGAAGGGAAGCGAAAAGAGGGTGGAACAGCCATCACTCCCAGGGCTTCCCCCAAGCCAGCCTCTTTGGGAGGCGCTGGACCACAACTCCCCTCTTGCCAGCTGGGGATGCGGGGCTTGGTGTCCATGTGTGGTCCCTGGGCAAGGCCAACGCCCAGGAGGTGCCTCCTTGAAGCGCTTCCTGAGTAGCTGTTCTTCTCCAGGAGAGGCTCTCATGTTGGTCTCCGTTTTCTCTGCCATTTCTTTAGGGCCTTGTGGAGGAGATGTGATGGGTGTGTCTCCCCCAAATCTCCTCCCCTCTTTGCTGCTTTGTTGGCCTTGTGGGATGTCCCACCCTCTCTGGAATTAGACTCACAACTGGCTTTTATTAGCCAAAATGAAATTCTCCCCCTTCTTGAATGGCTGTGCTGTTTCTCCTCCACTCGTTCCAAATATTTCCATGTAGGGCAATTATTCCTTTCTAGCTTTCTTTGGCCTGGTGGAAGTGGCGGGGCTGAGAATTCCCCTGGGGCAAGAGTCACATTCCATCCGCTGCAGGAAAGACACAGAAAGTTTTGGGGTGCCTTCAAAGGTTGTGGAAGCAAAGCTTTTCTGGGCCAGACTGAGCTCTTTGCTGATGAAGAGCCCCTTCTTCGGGATGCTTCATTCTTCCGCCGTGGGGCGCTGTACATGAGACAAACGGAGGGCTTGGAAGCCCGCCAGGGGGTTCTTCTACCAGGCTTGGCACTACCAGAGGAGAGAAGTGAGACTTCTGGGTGTGGGGGAACAGAGCTGGTGGGGAAACCACACATCTGTGCTCCTGTCCTGGTTTTGCACCAGCGGCTGTGTGAGTGAAGGTGTCTCTTTCTTTCAGAGAATGCTGGCCTTGAGGACACGGTGGATATTGCTGCCAAGATCACATCACTCCTCACCAGCTGACCTCTTCAGGCTCTGGGCCCTGGCCTGCATGGCAGCCTGGAAGAACATTGTTCTGGCTTCAACAAGCTTTCATCCGCTATGGAAGGTCAAGCACCTTTGTTGGGCCAGCGCTGGGCCATCCAGTGGTTGCCTTCTGCCTTCTCCCCTCTGAGAAAGGGATTGATTTGCAGGTGCTCCTGAGGAGAGCCAAGGATGAGTGCCCTCAATGGGGGAGGGATTCTTGGCTTGACCACAGTATCCATCACTCTGGACTTCAGCCTGCACAGCAGCTTGATGGCTTGGCCACTGAGTCACAATTTGACTTGGAATCACAGTTTGCCAACAACCGATCCTCTGAATTCCTCCATGGGGGCAGACATCTCTCGAAAGTCCATCAAGGAGAAGAACTGGCCAGCCCTCCTGATTCTGGTCATCATTGTCTTGACTATCGGTGGGAACATTTTGGTTATCATGGCGGTCTCCTTGGAGAAGAAGCTCCAAAACGCCACCAACTACTTCCTGATGTCCTTGGCTGTGGCGGACATGTTGGTGGGCATTCTGGTGATGCCAGTATCTCTGATCACTATTCTCTATGGTAAGTCCGCCACTGTTAGTGTCAATAAGAGGGCTGTGGTGCCTTGGGACAAGTGCCTTTCAATGAACGCATGAGCAGGGTTGCCTTCTTTCTTCTCTGCTGTTCCCACTGGTCGACCTGAGCACAGGAGGGCACCCAGTTTGAGATGGGACCTGCTCTCTACCTCTCCCTTTGGGGGACTGTTTTGCATGTGCAGAAAGCACTGGCTTGTAGTAGCCACAGGAGGAAGAGCTCCAGAGCCAAGAGTCTTCAGGGGATGGTCTACCGATCTGTGGGTCTTCAAAGGGGCCAGTGACACTAATGCTCAGATGATGGGATCCTTGTGGGCAGCAGAAGGGAAGTGGGGTTTTGTGGCATCTCTTACTTTCATTCAGTGTTTCCCAATCTGGGCCATTTGAAGCTGTGTGGACTTCAACTCCCAGAATTCCATGCTGGCTATGGAATTCTGGGAGTTGAAGTCCACGCTTCTTCAAATGGCCCAGGTTGGGAAACACTGAACCCATTGATGTAGGCGACTGAGATTTGGGAAATCATTGCAAAAGCTGTACTTCATGGCTGAGCACCCTGCGCCAAGGGTGTTGGCCAAGAGAAGGGTGAGGAGACGGATGGAACAGTGGTCCAGAGACTTAGAATCCTGTCCCCCCTATTCTGCTTCCAATCTCTGGAGATGATTCTTTGGGGCAACTTCAAAGCTTAGACAGCTTTCCAGAGGAGAAAAAGCTGCTTGGATCAATTGGCCTTCCCTTCCCCCGTCCATCAGGTGCCCTTCAATTGGATAGGAACACCGTTTTTCTCTTCTGCACATAAGGGAAATGCAGTCCTCCAGAGCAGATGTGCCAGCTACAGGTCATGGGGGTGGAAGATGGACACATCTGGAGAATGCCTGGTTTGAGAGCTGCTTTTATAGTTTCCCTCAATTCTTGAAACAATGTTCATTCTTGAAAAAGCAGACATGTCCTCTTTCCCCACATGGGTCTTCCCCTCATGTCTTCCTCAGCCATCTTCTTTCTGTAGAAGTCAGGATTCCCTGATCTGTGCCCGGTTGCAGCGCCTTTGAAGGGGCCACCAGGTCTGTCTGCTGGGAGAGACTGGAGCAAAGGGTTGAAGGGCTAAGCCTTCACTATTCAACTTCTTCTCGTGTCTGACTGACAGGCAACTGTTACGCCTGACATCTTATGTGTTTTCCGCCACAGCAAGATCCTGAAGGACTAATTAAAAATCTGTGCTAATAAATAGAAGCCAAGGTGGAGAGGCATAATAAAAACTGTTGAGTTTGAACTCCTGGAAAGCAGGATCGGAGTGTGAAATCTCAGGAACAAGAAAGCCGACCCAGCCCTTAAGGAAGGAACATGGTGTGTTTTCTTGGCAAACCATTCTTCAGTCTTTCTCACATATTAGGACAGAATGTTCTTCAGTCTTTCTAGAAGAACATACAGGAATATGGATAATAGCAACAGGATGTTGAACTATCTCTAGTCAGATGGGTTAGAAAGTTGGCAGTCCTCACCTAGCCTCGGAGGTTAAGCAAGGTTTAACACTAACCCTAATTTGGATGAGAGTCCACCAGAAATTTCTGAAGGTCTGAAGCTTATCCTGGAAGTTGAAAAAACTTCCTGGAGGAAGAGAAGGACCAACTGCTTCCATAATGTTGCCAAGAGAAGATTATGGATGTTGTCTGCGGAGTTCCCAGGAGCTGAATTTGACTCCAGGAATCTTCTTGGGTTGAATGCTGTACCTTCTGAGGGAATCGTAAGAGAAGAACAGGGAGAACTGGAGGGCAGAGTAAAACAGGTTATCAGTTTAGAATCCAGGCGTTGCCACAAGAGACCCAAGTCCAGCTCCCTCTTGAATTTCGTTGACACTTATCTAGTGCCAATTTACTGCTGATGGTTGATTGACCAGATTCTTGTGTATAGGCTTCAGTAATCATTCACAAATGGTCCTGATTCTTTGCGCCTGATAGGAACATAAGAATCCAAATTTTAATTTGATTGGAGATCTGCTTCCCTGCCTTTCTTCCACACCCAACTGAGTTTGTACAATGCAGAAGACCAGAATGTGCTTGGCTAAATGTTGGGGGTCAAGAGGTAAATCCAATCTGGTTGGTTAGACTACACTTCAGTGGGTTGTGCTAACTGGTTAACTGGTTTAATTATTAGTTGATTTTTATCTTACCTTTCTGGCAGGAGTTCAAGGCAGCTCCACAATAACAGCCTTGGGGCTGGAGAAAGAGGGTCTTCCATGGCTGAAGGTGGAGTAGAAGACAGTCCCAACCCCCTTAACCCCCTCCGGTCTCATATTTCTCCGCCTTTCATCTTTAGCTGTTTCGCCTGACTTCATGCTGCTCTTTTCATTGCTCTCTTGTGTTTATTGATCATTGTTTTGTTTTTAAATGTTGAAACGCCAAGATTCCCACAAGCAAAAGAGCAGCTTGGAGTCACTCCAGAAATACCCAATTACCTCCTCGGCTCTACAAGCCAGAATTTCTGCGGCAAACATTTTCAGTTTTCAAGACAAACTTTGCGTGCACATCACCTGGGGCCTTTTTATGCTGAAGGCAAGGGCAACTGGGGGCTGACTCCACAAAAAGGGATGGTTTTGTGCTCTAAATTGGGGCTTGGCTGTTCTTCTTTTTCAACCTTGCTTCTTGCAACTCCGAGCTTCCTCTTGAGGATAGATGCAGAGCTTTAAAGTGCCAGGTATATCCAGATATTTTGCAGATAAACTGATTCACACACAGAGCCCCTCCCTGTTCACTACGTAGATTTAGCGTTTCCCAACCTTAGCAATTTTAAGCTGGGTAAACTTCAACTCCCAGAATCCCCCAGCCAGCATAGGGAGAATTCTGGGAGTTGAAGTCCACATAGCTTAAAGTAGCTGAGGTTGAGAAAAGCTGCTCAAGAAATGGTCGGCGATATCTGTCTCTCTGGCTTGGGGCTAAGAAGCCACCTCAGCTCCTGCTGCCAATGGAGGCAAGCAGAACTTCGGAAGACCAGCAAGGAAGCAGCTTGGCTGAAGTGAAGGAATATGTCCAGGTCAGGCAGCTCTTTAAGGCAGATGGCCCTGCTTCTCCCCCAAGGGAGGACATTAGCCTGCTCTCTCCTCTCAGAGGGGGCAAAATGCCACCTTAACTATGAGCACACCTGCTTCTCAATCCCTCAAGGTTTCTCACACCAAATGTAGAGCGAGACCAGCTCTGCCTCCCTGACAAGGGAGTCCTATCCTTGTGAAATCAGTTGTTTCATAGCCGCACTTACATTAGCTTCTAGCAAGAACTTTTTTTTCACATAGTTTACACATATTTGCATTCTCAGATTTAAGTGTTTGAAAGACCTCATGGGTCTGGTTTAAGAAGCAAAGAAGACCTCTGTGCCTCTGAAGGAAACATCTCCATTGCCCAAGCTCTGCCATTTTTAAGATGTATGTGCTGCAATGTTGGCTGGGGAAATTGGTGGGTTGAAGTCCACGCATCTTAAAATTGCAGAAGTTGAGAAGCACCCACTTAATGCAATACCCAGGGGAAAAAATCTCCCTGTGCAAACACAGCAATGACCCCAACTCCTGGCTTATAACTCACTCAAGAGACATTCCCACAGCACGTATGTTTTGTCTGTTCTTTAAAAAATCTCAAGCACTGCAAAGTAGTAAACACAGGAAATTAAACAGGGCCGGTTTATTTCTAGCAGGCCCACATACCTGTCACTTTGCCCTGAGGGATAAAAGGTGGAACACCTCCACTGCAGAACATCTGCTCGTTCTCCCAGGTCTGCTCAACTGGTTCCCTTGAAACCCTGGGGAGCAGCTGCCACACTGAGCTTGGTGGATCTTTATCATAGGGCATTCTCTTGGCTCAGTCCCTGGTCTGCAGAGGAATGGGATCTGGCATCTCAACTGGGCTGGGAAAAGTCTGCAGCCTTGGAGAGCCACCAACCAACAAAGAAGACAATTCAGGGCTGAAGAGAGAAAGAAATGGCCGGGTCAGTTTCTGAAGGAGACACCGTCATCCATGAGCGAGGCTACCTTTTAGTAAGAAGGGAGAGATCTGAGCATCTTTCCCAAATTGTGACAGTCCATATTTGAACTGAGGAGAAGCTGTAGCCATCCAGGATCTGTTGGAATCCTCTGTCTGCCACCGACCAGCTCTGGCAGTTTGAATCCCTTCTCTGATACTCCCACATGAGGCCTGGAACCCTCGGTTGGGTTACTTCTTCTCAAGAGCTTCCATGTGGAATTGCCTCCTTTGCCAGTAAAGTCACACCCTCATCATCTTGGTCTTGCCCTGTGCCAAAACCAAATATGGCCCAGAGCAAATCAGAGGGAAAGAAAACTAACGATGAAGGCCACAACAAATATTCCAGGAGTAATTAGGAGATCTACAAAAAGGAAGCGAGGGAGTCTGGCACACCCGTGCAACCTGAAGTGCAGGCCCGCCTGGCCGTAACGCTCCAGGAGTGTTGAGAAATGCAAATTGTAGCTGAAGTTCATCCGTCTGTCAACTGCCAGGCTGCGGTGTGCGCTCTCCGCCGCTGGGGAGGACCCATCAGTCCATCTGCAGGATCTCGTCTGAGACGGAGGCAGCTGGCTTTTCAACCTTGTCAGGAAAGTGAATGCCATTAACAAGTTCAGCTGGAAAATTAATCCATTATTTCCTCTGAAAAGTCCAGGAGGGCACTTTGGATGCTGGAAGGCAGAGCAGTCTTCGGAGAAAGGAGGGGAGGAATTTTCAATAGACTTAAACAATTTCCTATTTCTGGTGCTTTGATTGACGGCTACCAGTTGCTGTTTTTATCGCAGCTTCTCCCCTCTTGCCTCGGGCGCTTTAGAGAGCTCTGCGGGGCTCAGATGTTTCCTTTGGCATCGCAAAGCTGACCATGTTTTAGAGATTGATGGTATTCGGGACACGGCTCATCGTTTTACATTTATTTCCTTAAACCATTTATATCTCTTTTGTTTAAACACACAGAATCCAGACTGCTTTTGAAAATGCCTAAAACTGGGAATGTGCAATCCAGCTTGTCTCTGGATACACAAAGGATTTGAAACAGCCTTTGTGCATATTTGTTTTTCAAGGGGACCTGGAGGATGAAAATGCCCTGGCTGGACACTTACAGAACGGCAGCCCCTTTGAAAGGTGTTTGGGGCCGTGTACAGGTACAGCCCCTCGCTGCAATTCAACAAGGCAGCCGTGCTGTGGAAAGACAGGTTCTCTGCAGGGATGAAAATGGGAGCCTGTTTTTTTAAGGGCTTCACTTGTTAAAATTGTCCTTTTTCAGATTCATCCTCATACCTTATTACAGCCAGGGAATGTAAAACACAGATAAAAATAGCAAAATAGAACTCTGGATGACATCAAGATGATCAACAAATAAACTGAAACATAACTATGGGAGGCTTTGCATTAATATTTTATTACATTTAAGAAATGCCCCCAACCCCAATGCACAATTTTGCTTGTCACATTAATCATGTTAAATCTTGGGACAAATTCCAAAAGATTGCCTAGAGATTTGGACTCCTCATTTTGGAACAGAAGAAGCTGCATGGTGTCTTCTGCCTAAGTTCGCTTGGCACCCCAAGTGTGGAGCAGGGTCCTCATCCAGGGCCTTCCAAGCTTCACCAGCAAGCTCCGTTTACTCAGCAGGAAGCAGTCACCAAACCACCCATGGTGGGAATCTGTAGCCGTCAGGATGTGATATTTATACCTTTGTAATCCACAGGTCTTAAAGTTGCCATGGTTGGATCCCCCCTGATCTAGAAGATGGTTTTCTCCTGGGTGGGTTTTCTTCCCCAGTGACTCCCCGTGAGGGTTCCTCTCCCTGTTCCTGGATCCTGTCGTGGATGTGGTACCTCCTGCAGGGCAGGCGCTTTGCCCCAGCATCGCTCAAGGGCAGTTCCTGTGTGGTACCCAGCTTGTGGTTGAGTGATTGGGGAGCCTCCTCCTCCTCTTCCTCCCTCCTCCTCCTTCCTCCTCCTCCCCCTCTGTTCTGGGCTGGAGCCCTCTTCTGCTCACGTCTCCTTCCTTGCCTCTCCCTTCTCTCTCTTCCAGATTATGCCTGGCCCTTGCCTAAACAACTGTGTCCCATCTGGATTTCCCTAGATGTGCTCTTCTCTACGGCCTCCATCATGCACCTTTGTGCCATCTCCCTCGACCGCTATGTCGCCATCCGCAACCCTATTGAGCACAGCCGGTTCAATTCCCGCACCAAGGCCATCATGAAGATCGCGGCCGTCTGGACCATTTCGATGGGTAAGTGGTCCCTCTCGTTGACCAAGGCCTTGTCCTCAGGGATGTTCTGTTGAAAAGGATAATCACAATCATAATAAAACAATACGTTCGAGACCTTTGTGTTGTCTGGGCTGAAGGACGGCAGGTAATCAATTGCTGCGAAAAACCAAAGGTATTTTCATTCAAATGCTTGGAAGAGTTTATTCAAGAGGAATCTTGGTTCCTCTCCGTGTTACCTGTTTAATATTGTATATTTAAAATGATTCATTTCAGTTAACCAATCAATCTTCTACTAGATTTAACCTAGATTTTATTAGACTTAGTCTTCTTCTTCTTTTTTTTTTTTTTACAGACTGGAGCCAGTCAGTCACTCATTCAACCAATAACAGATCAATCAATGCTTCATGAGCAGCTGCCTAGAACAGTGTTTCTCAATCTTGTCAATGTTAAGAAGAGTGGACTTCGTTTGGAGAATTCTGGGCGTTGAAGCCCCCACCTCTTAACATTGCCAAGGTTGAGAAACACTGCTCTAGGGTAACATGTGGCAGCTTCTCCCCCCCCCCCC